GTGGGAAGGTAACAGCATTCTGTGTGCCTTTGGCGTTTAGTCATGCCAGTCACATGACCCCGGAGACATCTTCGGACAATGCTGGCTCTTCGCCTTTGAAACAGAGATGAGCACCGCCCCCTAGAGTCAAGAACGACTAGCACAGATGTACCTTTACCTTTAATTCATTCTGGTGAAGCATGCTTGCCCTAGCCTTGATAATTCAAGGACTACCTATAATGTGATTTTTTTTCCTTTTATGTAAATATGCGGCTAAGCCATTGCTGCTATGTGTGGGATCTTTCCTGCTTCTTCTTTTAAGTCAGGGGTGTCAAACTCAAGGCCGGTGGGCGGATCCGGCCCCTGGGGTGCTTAGATCAGGCCCGTGGGGCCGACCTGGAAACAGCAAAGGACTGGCCTGTGGTGCCTCTGCCAGCTATAATGGAGCTCAGGAGGGCTGCATGCTGCCCTCCTGAGCTCCGGTTTCACTGGCAGAGGGTTGTAGGAGACCATCACCGCCAAAAATGGAGCTCTCAGGGGCCACGGGCAGCACTCCCAACTCTGTTTTGCTGACAGAGGGTTGCAGGAGACCGTTGCAGCCAAAAACAAATCTCGGGAGCCCATTTTTGCTGGCAGAGCTGTCGGGCCACCACAAGCACCCCCAACACGAGTGAGATTGCCCACCCCGGCCCCCCAAGGTCAAACACAACCCTGATGCAGCCCTCAATGAAATTGAGTTTGACACCCCTGTTCTAAGTCGGATCCTGGATTTCTGCCGTGAAGATCTCTTCCACCAGAATTAATAAACCAAACCAGGGGTGAAATCCAGCAGGTTCTGGAGAACCGGTAGCGAAAATTTTGAGCAGTTCAGAGAACCGATAGCATTAATTTTGAGTAGTTTGGAGAACCAGCAATTGCCACCTCTGGCTGGCCCCAGAGTGGGGTGGGAATGGGGTTTTTGCAATATCCTTCTCCCAGGAGTGGGGAGGGAATGGGGATTTTGCAGTATCCTTCCCCTGGAGTGGGGAGGGAATGGAGATTTTGCAGTATCCTTCCCCTGCCATGCCCACCAAGCCACACCACACCACACCACGCTTACCAAGCCACGCCCACAGAACCGGTAGTAAAAAAATTTGGATTTCACCACTGAATCAGACACCTGGGAAGCCAAAAGCTGTTTTGTTTGTCAATGCCTTCTTGATTCATGCCATTCCTCTGTTAGGATCTACCCTCATACCAGCTTCCAACGTAGTTTCTGTTGTGAATCACCTGGAGTATTAAAGCAGGTATTTCGCTCATCCCAGTGGACTTTGAAAGAAAGGACTCGGCCGTGGCTTTTGTCCAATAATGGTTGCTAGAACTGGAATGTGGGAGATTTATAATCCGATGGCCTTGATCCACACGATAAGCTGTTTCACCCATCGCAGCTGGAGTGGCGATGATTAATGGCAGAGAAATGTTTTCCTGCATCAGCACAGAATGTGTTCTGCTTCTAAAGTTAAGCCGCCGTCAAATCACCTTAATTTCTTTTCTCTTTTTTTTCCCCCCTCCCCAAACTTTTCCAGGCAAAAAGAAGGATCCTGACTGATTTGCAGCATTCTTTATTCCGCCAGAAATGCCATATTTTGCACCCACAAGATAAAAGGAATTGGAGACTGATACAGCAGCCTCGGTTGTTACACGGCTGCTTCCCAATTTAGAGGGAATAAAAAAGAAGCAAATTTGGAAACGGCCATTTCAGAAGCCCAAAAGATAAGCAGAGATAATAGAAAGTCAATACTTAGGCTTTCTAACATGCTTCTCTAAAACTGGGAAGGTCATGGTAGGCTCAAGGCTGCCAGCAACTTCCTGGATTGTTGTTGACATGATGATTGAGAGGCTTCTTAAGAGTCAGGGAGGCTACAATCTTTATATCCTGTTTAAAAATAAATAAATAAATAATAATAGAAGAATTCCAGGTCCCTAATTGTTTTTCCTTGCCTTGCTTCCTTCACCAGCAGCTCTCTCATGGGGTGAATGAAATTCACTAGTCTTCGTTCAGCTCATCTCCATTCATAGGAACTTCAACCGTTCATGCATTGCTGGAGAAGTGGGGGTGGGGGAGAAAGAATCTTTAAAAGTTTTACGCTCTAGGCCAGAATTTACCAATGTTGGCAACTTTTAAGACTTGTGGACTTTTCAACTCTGGCTGGGGAATTCTGGGAGTTGAAGTCCTTATGTCTTAAAGTTTAGCCAAGTTGGGGAGCTCTGCTCCAGGCCATTTTATCTTTCGCATCAGGCCTCAGTGGCTAAGACGCTGAGCTTGTCGATCAGAAAGGTCGGCAGTTTGGTGGTTCGAATCCCTAGTATAGGTCTCCTGGCTGCGTGAGCAGGGAGTTGGACTAGATCAGGGGTCCCCAACCTTTCGGACCTCAGGGACCACTAAATTCATAATTTTAAATCCCACGGACCACTAATATGATCTGCCTAATGACCGGCTGGGTGGATGTGGCTAGGTGGTCATGTGACTGGGTGGGCATGGTCAACTCGATGTCACTCATGTCGAGGGGTGCCTCGCTGGCCTCTACTTGCCCCTCCCCTCCCAGACACTCCTCGCCTCCCCACCTGGGCTCCTTAGGGCCCCAACAGGAAGCAGCTGTTGGAGCTAAGCAGCCACCACGAGAAAAAGTTGGCAAAACAGCTGGCTCAGTTTAAATTGGATCTGACCAAGAAGGAGGCCCAGCAGAAGCACCTCACTGAGGACTACGAGCATAGGCTTTCCAAGCAGAGGGAAGTCCTGCGGGAGTACAAGGCCAGGTAACGGCGCCTGGAGGCTCAGCGGGCTGAGATGGTCAGTCAGTTCCAGGCCATGATGCAGTCTCACTGGAACAAGGCCCTTCGGCTCTTCGCCACCAGCGGCACTTCCCTCCAGCTTTCGCCCAAAGCCCACACCAGGAGGCTGAAGCAGATCCCAAGTCGAAATTTCTACCCCCCTCTGATCCACACAAGATCCCAAAGGGGGAGACTCTGCAGTAATGCAAACATTCATTGTATGTATCCAGCCCAGGGGCCGTAGTTTGAGGACCCCTGATTTAGTGCAATATGAAAAATGCAAATGATTTTTCTGCGGACCACCAAAATTTTCTCACGGACCACCAGCGGTTCACAGACCACCAGATGGTGAGCATTGGACTAGATGACCTCCAAGGTCCCTTCCAACTCTGTTACTGTTATTTATTTATTAAATATATTGGGAGTCTGTCGCTCCGTTTTTGATGGATCTACTTGCTTGTTTTCCTCTTTTATCTTTTTTTCCAAACAGTTTGCAAGTTAGGAAAGGCTGTGTATGATCACTAGGCTTCCTTTTTGTAGTTTGGGCAAACAGCTCCCTCAGCTGGCAGTCTGTGGAATATACTATCCCTATATATCAGAAGGAACAATTTCTCCTTCATCGGTGAAGACCAGTTAAATGTCTTATCTTTAAAATCGTTTCGGTGTGCAGTTCCTCCCACTTAAAGATACGATAGACAGCATAGGAAGATCTTTTATAGCAGGTTGGACTCGCTATCGAACCATGGAGTTTTACATGTTTTTCGAAGGCCTCCTAGAGTGTGGTTGATGGGCCAAATCTTATACGAGATAGCCCTCCGTCATATTCTCTTTGTACTTGCACTGGAGGCTGCATAACCATGTTCCCATTTGATTTAGGACATCTAATTTAGGGGGGTTTGGGAAGGAGCACACTGGTGGGTCACATAACCAGCCCTTGATGAACCCTGTAAATCAATCCTACACTTGTAGGATTGATGAACCGAAGCTGGCCTACTAGGAAGTCCTACCTGACAATGATGTGGGCCTGCTTGGGAAACTGGCTGGCCAATCAGTGAGCCAAGTCAGAATAACAGAATAATAAATGTTGGAAAAGACCTTGGAGCAGAGGTGGTATTCAGCCGGTTCGCCCCGAACTGATAGCGGCAGTTCGCCCCGGCTCCAAGTTGTGCTATTTAGGCACGTTTTCAAGGCCAGGCTTATGTGCAGAAGGTGCGCACGTGAGCAAAGTGCATGCATGGAAGCCCGGGCGCATGCACGGACAGCACATGCAGGGCGAACCAGTGGTAAAGGTAAGTGAAACCCACTCCTGCCTTGGAGGTCTTCTAATCCAATTCCTGGTCAAGCAGGAGACCCTATACCCGTGATGGCAAACCTATTGCATGCGTGCCACAGGTGGCACGCAGCGCCGCCTCTGTGGGCACGTGAGCTGTCACCCCAATTCAGCTCTGCCGTGCATGCGTGCATGCCTCCCGCTGGCCAGCTGCTCATCAGGTCTCTGCTGCACATGTGCAGTGGGTGGGGCGCATGCAGGGGGGCTGCACCCAGAGTTTTGCTGCATTTTTGGGGGGTGTTGTAGCAGAGTCTGTTTCCATGAGGATTCTCCTGTGATTGCCCTCTCTTTCCGATATGCAAAGGCACTGTGGTTATGGTTGCAAATCTTCCATCAAATGGCTATGCCACACACAACCATCCTCCCTTCCCAGGGAAGCCCATTGGGGCCTCCTTTCCAACCCACTGAGAAAAGCACATGAACCAAGAGAAGAAGGGCGAAGGGTGCCAGCTAGCTGCCAGTTTTGATGCTCTACCTTGGCCAGCTGGCTGGTTCAAGGGCAGGAAGCTAAGCTGACTTGCCTGCCCAATCATACTGTACAAAAATGCGGTTTATCGTGTAAGCAGTGAGGCGAAACCACCAGCTGTGTAGTAAAGTCCTTCCTACTCCCAAGATACTTTATACTTTTGCAAATATTTGAGTTTCCCCAAAGTGGATGATCCTGTCTCTTGTGGCACCATTTTTTTTTTCTGATTAAGGATTCTTTTTTTTTTTTAAAGACATAGGATTCCGACTTGGCTGCAGAAAACAGTATATCTCTGCTTATTCAAATTAAAACAAAACAAGTAATTAGATACTGGATATCTATCATGAATAGTGTCTACATTTTAAATTATGTGTTCCGTGTTAATATCAGAGAGATTGTGTTACAATCATGAAATTCAGGCTTGGGAACAAGGCTATTTTATTGTCCTAACACGAAGTACTGGAATTGGATAAAATAGAGAGAGAGTAATTGACAGGTGTCCAGATCCCAAAACCAAGAAAAACATGTTGAGGTTTTTCTAAGCGTTTTCCTTTACGGTTCTTCACTTATTGGCAGAAACCTTGCCAAATTGAAGCAGCTATTAAATATACTCTGAGAACACTTACAAAGGAGCTGTTTTACTCTCTTTCTCCCACACATCTGAATTGTGTTGTCTTTTGCTGCTCTGGAATGCAGCCCCTCCCTCCTGGGAATCCAGAGCACATTCCACCACACCAAGGCTCTGCATCTCTTCAAAGCAGAGGTGGGCAATTCATTTTCCCAAGGGGCCACGTGAAAAACTGGGGTTGTGTGAAAGGCCGAACCAATCAGACTGTGAAGGTGTGTAGGCATGTGTGCACCTATGTACATGACATTAGTTTTGAAGGCAATTGCTTTCAAAATAAAAGCAATCCACGCAGGCTGGATAGGGACAGCCAGAGGGCTGAATGTGGCTTGAGGGCTATAAAATGACCAGGTTCTGCTTTAAAAGGATGCTTAACTTCCAAATTCAACTTCACCAGAATGGCACTGTTTCGAAGCAGTTTTGTGAAATGATGTGGTTTCCTGCATTGAAAGGAAGGAAAGGACTTTGTGCAAAATATGTTTCTGCCTAACAGATGAAGTACAGTATAGAACAGGTGCTTTGCATGGAGAGCATCATCTCTGTACTAGGTGGTGGTGTCCACTACTGGCACGATGTGAAGAGGCAAATGGCATGTTCTTTCCACCGGAGTAATAATTTTGGGACACAACCTGGTATTCACACTGAAATACGCCTATTTATTTCATTTATTGGTCGCCCAACTCCAGTGGATTCCTGTAGACATAGCGGCATCCATGACCATTTATTTATTTATTTATTTACTTATTTATTTATTATTCCTTATTGGCCAAGTGTGATTGGACACACAAGGAACACAAGGAAGTCTTTGGTGCATAAGCTCTCAGTGTACATAAAAAATACATTCATTAAAAATAAGAGAGCTAATCAGAAGTTCCTAGCTGTGGAATAGGCTATATGGCCTTGATGGTGAACCTATGGCACGGGTGGGCACGCGCATCATCGCCAGGTGCTCTTCTGGTTTCCGATGCACACATGTGTGCCAGCCAGCTGGTCTTTGCAGGTGCTGGAGCACTGGAAAATAGCCCGAAAACTGGCCAAAAACAGCCAAAAAACAGGCCCTTTTTTGGGCCATTTTCAGGCCAAAAACGGCCTCAAAACAGCCCAAAAAATATCCAAAAACCAGGCACGCACGCACCAGGCAGCTGGTCTTCGGGCTTCCAGCGCTCTGGCGTGCACACCAGTGGTAGGTTGCTACCGGTTCGCTCCGTATCGGGTGAACTGGTAGTGGCAGCAGCCCACCCGCCTGGACGTCTCTGTGCATGCGCAGAAGCATCACAAGCGCGAGCACGCACGCACCCACGAGCGAACTGGTAGCAAATGAAATTGAAACCCAACTGGTATGCACATGAACACACATGCATGCACATTCTGGTTTGGGCACTCAGTGGTGAAAAGGATCGCCATCACTGCTATTATATGGCTTGGTCTGCTGGCTAGAAAGAATGAGTATTCTCCAGAAATGTGGGCCAACACCCAGAATTCTTAGCATTGGCATGGCTGACTAGGAAATTTCAGACAGTTGGAGGGTACCCTAACTTTATAAGGCACTTTAGAAGAGAGGGACATGGCATCCTGTGGAGTGGACAGGAGTGTTCTGTAGCTTGAATAAAACACCAGAATAAGCATCCAAAATTTGGCAGGGGGGCAGTTAGGCACTTTGTGGGAATTTTGGCCAAATGGCTTACAGAATAGCAATAGCACTTAGACTTATATACCGCTTCACAGTGCTTTACGACCCTCTCTAAGTGGTTTATAGAGTCAGCCTATAGCCCCAACAATCTGGGTCCTCATTTTACCCACCTCGGAAGGAATGAAGGCTGAGTCAGCCTTGAGTCAGTCAGGATCGAACTCCTGGCAGTGAGCTGAACTAGCCTGCAATACTGCATTTTAACCACCATGCCACCATGGCTCCACCGAAGGAAGGCTTTCCTCCAGACAGAGAATGGCCAATTCTTTATAATTGCCAGTTGTCTGAAAGAATTGCCCCTTGCGGGACACAAAACTTCTCATTTCCTGAAAGGCAAGCGAATACAACTAAAAAAGGAAAATGACATTTGAATGCATTTTGTAAAAATAAAAATAAAAATGAAGAGAGATGGGGAAATTGTCCCACTCCAAAAGGGGTGCTTTCAGATCTGTTCAGCTCATAAGCACTGTGTAGAGGAATTTAGTATCAAAAGATCTGTTGGGCCGAGATAGATTCAGGATAGCGTGAAAGCTGGATTTTCACTACAAGCGCCAGATATAGAATCCTTCACGAGATCAAAAGAGCAAAGTTCTTGTCTGCAGAGTTTTCTTTCTCTAAGCTCCAAAGAGAGGGCAAGAAAGGGAAGTGGGTTTGCACCAATACAGTAGTCCTTGACTTACAACCATTTGTTTAGTGACCAGTTAAAATTACAAAGGCGCTGAAAAGGTGACTTATAATTAGTATTTGTATTTACAACTCTTGCAGCATCCCTATGGTCATGAGATCAAAAGCTTGGCAACTGACAGGTATACAGTAGTGGCCAAAATTGTGGAAACCTTTTGGGAAAAGTGTATTTTTGAGGTTTGATGGTTAAGAACACCACTTTTTTTTTTTTTTTTTGGAGTTTCAAGATAATCATATTCCACTGCTGAAATGGCCTGGGAATAGCCCAGAGTCCTTAACCCAATTGAAAATCTATGAAACCTGTTACAACTTGTTAGTCAGAAGCGACCCAGCAATAAAACCCAGTTAATAGAAGCAATCGTTCAATCTTGGTTTCACATTATAACAGCTGCAGAACTAAAAGACTTGGTTCACTCCATGGGAAGACGTTGCTAAAGGTTACCCAACTAAGTATTAACTGACTTGGTGATAATTTTTGTATATCTCATTTTTTCTATGGTGATAATTTTTGTATATCTTGTTTTTTCTACGTGTTTCACTTTTCTTCTTTATACTGTAACTGCTATTCTAATAGCAAATCCTTCATAAAAGTTAATGCATTGCATTCTTGATTAAATTATCTTTCCATTGATATATAATTTTATGGTACTACTCCCCCCAAAAATGTGGTGTTATTAGCTAGTTTTAGAAAATACACTTTTCCCAAAAGGTTTCCACAATTCTGGCCACTATTGTATAATAAGATGGTTGCAGCGTCCCAGGGTGTGTGATGGGACCTTCCCATCCAGCTTCCAACAAACTAAGTTAATAGAAGTAGAAGCTGAATTCTCTTAACGATTCAGTTAATTGCAGCGTTTTGCTTAACAACCACAGCAAAAGATTGTAAAATCAGGCATGATTCACTTAGCAACCGCCTTGCTTAACCAATGGATATCCTGGTCCCCAGTGTGTTTGTAAGCTGAGGACAACCTGTGCTGGATAACCAAATTCACTGCAAAGATGGAGGAGTCAGAGCTGGCTCCATCAGCTTTCTTGGGGATGGTAGAGAAATGAGGAAAGGGATAAATGCATAATGTGTATTTATCAGCGCCTTGCCAGGCGATCCCAAACATCTGCGGTTGGATGGAAATTATATCTATCACTCCCACACAAAGCATTAACATTCGCAGCAAATTCGTCCAGCAGGCTGCCCATTTTTACCCTGATCCCCAAACCTTAGCGGGTCCTACAAGACACAAAAGAAAGGAACAAAGGCCCCCGTTGCTAAATCACAGTTGAATTACGAAGATGCTAGGCCGCCGGTTGCCATGGTAACCGTTCAAGGGTTATGATTACCGTGGCTCCCAAGGATACTCCCATTGGGGAACTCTCATTTGCCTACGGGGCAGGCCACACCAGTGCCTTGCAGGCCGCAAAAACCATCCGGGTTTTTGTGCAGATATTGCTGGTGGTAATCTTCGGCGTAGTAGAATTCACCGGCTGGCTGAATCTCAGTCGTTATTGGTCCCACTTGCTTCTTAGCCAACTCCTGCCAAAGAGGAGACAGAAATGCATTTCAAGGAAAGAACAGTCTGAAATCTTGTCTCCCTGCAAGGTCATGAAAGGAACGATCAACTACCGTACTTTTCAGAATATAAGATGCACTTTTTCCCACCCTAAAAGAGGGTGGAAATGTTGGTGTGTCTTATACACCAAATACAGCCATTTTTGGCCTCCTGAAACCCCGCCCCACGGGTCTCGTTTTCGTCAAAAAACAGGCCCGTTTTTTTTAAAAAATTTTTTTAAATTTGATTTATATGCCACCCTTCTCCAGAGACTCAGGGCGGCTTACAATGCGTTAAGCAATAGCCTTCATTCTTTTTGTATGTTTTTATACAAAGTCAGCTTATTGCCCCCACAAACTGGGTCCTCATTTCACCTACCTTAGAAAGGATGGAAGGCTGAGTCAACCTTGAGCCTTGGAGAGATTCGAACCAGCAGAAATTGCAGGCAGCTGTGTTAATTACAGGGTGCACTGCCTGTTTTCGCAAAAACAGGGCCTGCAGAGTGCTCCTGGGGCCCGGGGAGGGCAAAATCTTTTTTTTCTTGTTTACCTCTTTGAAATCTTGGTGTGTCTTATACTCCAGTGCATCTTATAGTCCGAAAAATACGGTATGTTTAAGTTTTTTACTTCTAGGTTACAAATACAAGAAAATATTTATAGCTCAGGATTGAAAGGAAGGATCCTTAGCGCTCTCTGCATTTAAATATTTTCTTGCAGACGTTTCATTACCAAATTAGGTAACGTCATCCGTGCTAGCATGGATGATATGACCCTATTTTGGATAATGAAACATCTGCAAGAAAACAACAAAACTCAGAGAGCACTAAGGGCCCTTTTGTAGCTTATCTTCAACTCACCATCCTCTCTGCTTGCCAAATGTGGATTCTAGATAAGAGCCTCGGCATCCTAGACCACTTTTATTACACCGAGACAAGGAAGATCATTTAATTTACATTTTATTTGAAATATTTCTATTTAAAAGGATTCTTTTATTGATCTCACAAGTGAGAGAACCTGGAAAAAAAAATGGCTTACGTTTACTTTTAAGAGTTAGCACAACGAAGAACTTCAAAGTTCTTCCTCTTCCTTGCAATATCCAATTCATGTTGGAATTTCAGTCTTGGGGAAGAGAACTAATGTTTTTAAGAAGAGCCGGCACTCATAAAGAGAAAACAAGTTTCTGGTCCTTGTGGCACTGAATATTGACTAGGAAAAATGTGAGCTGCAATCAAAAGTATTGTAGGGCAGGAAGGATTTTCACAGTGCTTGGGGGAATGGAGTGGCTGTGCTCTAGAATTCTGGGAGTTGAAATCCACAAGTCATAAAAGGTATGTTTTAATAGTTTTTAAGGCATCTTTCTGACTTGAAACATGGCAAGGTGACTGCCCAGAAGGGTTGCCATGGCTGATGTGGCCACTTGAGGGCCCCCAAGATCCCTGCCTATTTACAGAGTTCCTTCATCCAATAAGATGCATTCATTCAGAGTTCAGAAGGATAAAGGGAAAAAAAAGATAAGAATGGGGTGGGTAGCATAATGGAACACTGTTAATTGTTGCTGATATGTTTCTGATTTTTACCAGCAATACCAACCCTTCAAAAATCTGCAGTCCATGCATCTGGATGTTCACATCATCTCCTTTTAATGTGACCTACCATACTCTACAGGTAGTCCTCAGATTATGACAATTGAGTCCAAAATTGATATTGCTAAGATAGACAGTTGTTAAGTGAGCTTTGCTCCATTTCACAATTTTCCTTGCCACAGTTGTTAAGTGAATCGCTGCTCTTGTCAAATCAGTAACACGGTTGTTAAGGGAATCTGGCTTCCCCATTGACTTCATTGGTTAGAAGGTTGCAAAAGGGGGAATCACGTGATGATCCCCAAGACACTGCAACTGTCATAAATATGAACTGATGGCCAAGCATCCGAAGTTTGCTCACATGACCACGGGGATACTGCCAATGGTTGTAAATGTGAAAAATGATCATCATTCACTTTCTTCGGGGCCGTTGTAACCTCAGAAAGATACTTCCAAACAAGGCTTTTATCTTGCAATCTCCAAGAATCACCTTGCAATCTCCAAGGATTTTAAGAAGGGCAGATATAACTTTCTATTGACATGATTGCAGTGTTCCAATATCTCAGGGGCTGCCACAAAGAAGAGGGAGTCAAGCTATTATCCAAAGCAGCTGAGGGCAGGACAAGAAGCAATGGGTGGAAACTAATCAAGGAGAGAAGTAATTTAGAACTAAGGAGAAATTTCCTCACTGTGAGAACAATTAATCAGTGGAACGACTTGCCTCCAGAAGTTGTGAATGCTCCAACACTGGAAGTTTTTAAGAAGAGATTGGACAGACATTTGTCTGAAATGGTACAGGGTTTCCTGCCTGAGCAGGTGGTTGGTCTAGAAGACTTCCACAGTCCCTTCCAACTCTGTTATTCTGTTAAGTGGCTTTTCCCTGGTCTATTTATCGGTCATAAGCCACTTTTTTCAGTGCCATTGTAACTTTGAACAGTGACTAAATGAGCTGTTGTAAATCAATGACTACCTGTATCTTGCCAATGTCTATGCGGCTAGGGATGATGGAAATTGAGGTCCAAAATATCCGGAAGCATTACGCTTTTATAGCACCTGAAGGCAGGACAAGAAGCAACGGATGGAAACTAATCAAGGAGAGAAGCAACCTAGAACTAAGGAGAAATTTCCTGACAGTTGGAACAATTAATCAATGGAATGACTTGCCTCCAGAAGTTGTGAATGTTCCAACACTGGAAGTTTTTAAGAAGAGATTAGATAACCATTTATCTGAAGTGGTGTATGGTTTCCTGCCTAAGCAGGGGGTTGGACTAGAGGACCTCCAAGGTCCCTTCCAACTCTGTTATTCTGTTTAAGCAGTTCCACATGGCTTCCTCCACCGTTTCTCTAAAGTTTCACCACCGTGGCAATCTGAAGATGTATGGACTTCAATTCTCAGGATTCCCCAGCCATTTTCAGGAGAGAAATACACCAAAACTGTCATGTAAAATAGACTTTACATCTTTTTCCTTTGGGCTCTTAATCCTATTCTGTATTGATGTTTTCCCATCTTCACTTGAGAACTGTTGTGTGGGAGAAGAAGAGCCTATTACTCGGGCAACGGCAAACCATTTTTTCATTACAGCCCATGAACGAAATGCTAGGAGACTTAGATGAACATTGGCAGCTAAGTCTCCTGTTAGCCCTTCAAGGAGGTCTTGACTGAGGAGCACAACTGGGAATGTTGGGCTCTTTATTGCAAGGTTACATAAACAGAATCTTGCAAGACTGAACGTATTTCTCCCCTCCTTTCCTTGTACTCTCCAGAAAACTAAGGAAATGTTTTCTCCACCCTCCCTCCTTCTGTGAGCTGAGATTATCTTTTACACACCTGTTGTCCAGTTTGCAGCTCCCATGTCTCCCAAGGCCATTTCCACAGACCATTAAATCCCCCATCTCTTAAATGCATGGCTTCCCTGGGTCTCCCCTGGACTGGGACAGAAGGCTAAATACTATTTCTCTCCATCCATCAAAGGTCTAGAACAGGGGTCCCCAACCCCTGGTCCGTGGTATGCCAGAAACTGGGCTGCACAAACAAGAGAAGCCCCAGTATAGTTACTACTACTACTACAATAGTAGTAACTGTGAGAGGGATCTTGGAGTCCTAATGGACAACCATTTAAATATGAGCCAGCAGTGTGCAGCAGCTGCCAAAAAAGCCAACCCAGTTCTAGGCTGCATAAAGAACTGATGGGATTTCGCGCAACACTCGCGTAAGGGAGCGGGACTTAAGGATTCTTCGTGCAAAACAGGAGCGCCGCTTGCAAACTTTTGCAGAAGATCCTGCGCAGGGTTAATAGCGTGCGCTCTCCACGATCGAACTCTTTCCATTTAAAATTCATGGTGGGGAGGGGGGGCGCCCTAATAGATCGCTGCGGGTTAATCTAAAGGGAGATGAGCGGTTCAAAAATGTGAAAAGTAAAAATAAAATCGAGGCAAGGATAGGATTCAACTTGAAAAACATTCAGTGGTGAAAAAAGTAAGGTTCTACAGTTAGGCAAATGCACAGGTACAGTATATGAAGTGGTACTTTGCTCAAAAGCAGTAACTGAGAGGGATCTTGGAGTCCTAGTGGGCATATGAGCCAGCCGTGTGCTGCAGCTGCCAAAAAAGCCAACACAGTTCTAGGCTGCATAAAGAGAGAGATAGACTCAAGATAGTGTGAAGTGTTAATACCATTTTATAATGCCTTGGTAAGGCCACACTTGGAATATTGCATACAGTTTTGGTTGCCATGATGTAAAAAAGATGTTGAGACTCTAGAAAGAGTACAGAGAAGAGCAACAAAGATGATTTGGAGACTGGAGGCTAAAACATATGAATAATGGTTGCAGGAACTGGGTATGTCTAATTTAATGAAAAGAAGGATTAGGGGTGACATGATAGCAGTCTTCCAATATCTCAGGGGTGCCACAAAGAAGAGGGAGTTGAGCTATTCTCCAAAGCTCCTGAGGGTAGAACAAGAAGCAATGGGTGGAAACTAATCAAGGAGAGAAGCAACCTAGAACTAAGGAGGAATTTCCTGACAGTGAGAACAATTGATCATTGGAACGACTTGCCTCCAGAAGTTGTGAATGCTCCAACACTGGAAGTTTTTAAGAAGAGGCTGGATAACCATTTGTCTGAAGTGGTGTAGGGTTTCCTGCCTAAGCAGGGAGTTGGACTAGAGGAACTCCAAGGTTCCTTCCAACTTTGTTATTCTATTCTATTCTATTCTGTTCTATTCTATTCTGTTCTGTTCTGTTCTGTTCTGTTCTGTTCTGTTCTGTTCTGCTCTGCCCTGCCCTGCCCCGCCCCGCTCCGCTCCGCTCCGCTCCACTCCACTCCACTCCACTCCATTCCATCCGCGGGATGCAGGCAGCACATGAAACCATGCCCTCTCCGATCCGCGGAAAAGTCTCTCTCCATGGAA